GAGGAGGAGGAGGAGGAGGAGGAGGAGGAGGAGGAGGAGGAGAAGAAGAAGAAGAAGAAGAAGAAGAAGAAGAAGAAGAAGAAGAAGAAGAAGAAGAAGAAGAAGGAGGAGGAGGAGAAGAAGGACGAGAGAAGGAGAAGGAGAAGAAGAAGAAGAAGAAGAAGAAGAAGAAGAAAAAGAAGAAGAAGACGGCAAGAGACCAACGATAATTCCCCTTCTTCTCACCAACCAAACTCCTCTTCCTTTTCTACTCCCATCTTATTCTAACAATAAATAATAATAATGATGATGGATTGCAGAACCAGAATTAATGTCCGAATCCCTGTTCTACTGCCAGCACAACTTGTGGTCCACCATAGCCATGGCCGCCTCCCTCTTCCTTCTTCCTCCAGGCTGAGGTTCTCGCGGAGTACTGAGGGCCTTGCCCTGACGTGGAAAAGACAACGCACAGCAGCTATGGCCTCCTCCTCTCAGGCCGCCATGCCTAACTCTGCCTCGAAGCTTCTTGGTGTAGCTCTACCCCAACAGGGCCTTCCAGATGCAGCGCCCACCAAGGTGATGGAGATGGCATCCACCATCACCAGGTAAGTACCCCTGGTGCCCCCTCTCCTACTCCCTTCTTCCTCGTCCTGCTGCCCACCATAGCCAAGGTGGAGAGCTGGGCACTCCTTCTTCCCCAGCAGCGCAGCACACTAGCGCTGCTCCACCATGCGCTCTAGCAGCGTGTCGCCCAAACTTGCAAGCAACAAATGAGGAAGGGCTCATTGCTCTTCCCAGTGATATAGCAAGGCAGCAGCCTCCTTGGGCGGTGACTTCCAGGTTGCGCGGCCTCCAAGCAATCACTTTTCTTTATTTTAAACTATGCCAATGGTTGCTTCAGAGGGTTCCGAAAGCCCTTTAAAAAGCTTATGGAGCAAGTAAAGAAATTCAAACTATTAAGGAAGAATTTTATCTTTACAAAAAATCTGATTTCTTTGATACGACCTCCTGGGAAAGCTCCTTTTCTTATATAGATTCTGAATTATACTTTCGGAGGGAAAACACAGGCCCTAGGCTCATACTACTTGGAGTGGTACCTGCCTAGACCTAGCCTACTACTACCGGGCCTGTAAAAATGCCAACTTTTGTCTTCTTCTGCTCGGCCTCCAGTCCCTGACACATCTACCGCTACTTGAGTGGTATCGGTCTACCTACTACTTGAGTGTTTTTCCCTGCTGCTCTAAGTGCCGCGGGCCTACTCCCACGACTTGAGTGTTTTCCCCGCTGCACCCTCCACCTGCATAGTCTGGACTTCCAAGAAGCCCCATACGACTGGTTCCACATTGTTCCCCATGATCAGGGGCTGAGATACTAACTGTGTTCCCACCACCTAGAAATAAGATTGCATGCTCCTGATCCAGGACTCGATGTTATTCTTCCCATCGTACTTGGGCGGTATTTGAACCGCCTTCCTGTCCACATAGGGACTGCTATAGCTGAGACCAGCAACTGCTGTCTCTGGGCTTGGGGCTGCAGCAC